ATATTTAAATTTAGATAATGTTTAATCATAATGCAAAGGTGTGGGGGGTACTACGCTTTCGAGATTTTTAATGATTAAAACAAGATGGGAAAATATATCCATTCAGATTATACACAAGAACTCACTGGATGGCGTAGAGTGCATAAATATATATCCATGCACTTTAATACTTTACTGAAAAAACTTGCCACCCAAACTGTAACAGTTCGAAAAGTATCAATTACGTATATCTATAGACTTCATAACCAGGATTGACATTTTATTTTATTACGTAAATGCAATCGAAGAAACTATCGTCCAATATTTTTTCTGTTCAAACATAGCTGACTCGATTACGCTCAAAAGCGACGTTCTATAATATATTATTTGAAATAAACAAATAATTGATTCTCAAAACACAAAAATAATACTTTTGTAACGAATAAAATATTATACATCATATTTTACGTTCTGAATATCCGTGAACCGTCGAAACAAGATGGTTGACTGAAATCAACATAGATATGAAGAAATATTCAGTAAGTAATAGTAATATTCAGTAAACAATCCTTGGGGGTTACTCGTAAAACTTGTTGGAAACAGCCTCGGGTAGAATAATTTTTAATCAAGTATTCATGGGATCTAGTTTCAAAGTTTCTAAAGAGCACGTAATAATCATACTTTATTATTAAATAGGAATAATTATTATATTGTTAAAAAATTATAAAATGTGTTTCGTAATCACTAAGTGTTTTTCGCACCGAAGTTCAAAACATGAATCAATAATTTTCCAATACTTAGTGCTGTGCGCGTTTGAAATATTTGAACTGATTGTCGATATATAAGACATAAATTTGTAAAAGCAATCAATCATTGCATTATACTACTTGTAATTATAATGTTGCCGGCTACACAATAACAATATGCACCCTTTGTTTGCAAAGGATCTTATAGAATATAATAAATTACAAAAACGATACGTTTTATTAATTAAGGATTGTCGCTTCGTAATTTCAAATCATTACGAGGATGCATTAAGTACATGAGCAGATGACATTTTATTTCTTGCAAACCTGTTGGAATATAACAAATAAATAAATATGCGCTAGTGGCCATTCTGCCGTTTCAACTGCTAAAACATACGAAAACAAAGGTGCACTTGAATGTAATGTTTGTAACGATTCGAAAATCTCCTAGAGTGAGGGTTTTAATAATGCAAACAATCGTCGTGCCTCCATGTCCGTCGAGTTGTAAAAAAGAAATGACCTCCTCTGAGCGAATCGCAGCCAGTATCGTGGTCCAGTACACACACGTACACAAACGTACAAGCACATGCACACGCACGTGCACGCGTAAAGGCATACGCTCGTATTAGTTTACGAAACGCTTATTCATTATTAAGAATCTCTGTTGTATACGTACATATAACATAAACGGCAACAATAATTTCTCATCCGTCTATTTTATTTTTATTTTTCCAGATTGGATCATTTTTCATGATAAACCTGTGCCTGGTGGTCATAGCCACGCAGTTTTCCGAGACGAAAAAACGGGAAATGGAAAGAATGAAAATGGAACGAGCTCGTTTTCACTCCACCAGCACGCTGACCTCTTCGACAAACAACTCCGAACCGTCGTCCTGTTACTCCCAAATGGTGAAGTAAGTGTTTTTCTATTTAATTATTTTACGTAAAATTTCATCTCTCTCTCTCTCTCTCTCTCTCTCTCTCTCTATTAATCTCTCCCTCTTCCCCATTCGTTTCTTTCCAATTCAATTCGTAAGAAACACGTATATTTAGGCACATTTACATATCAAGACCAGATGCACACCACGTCGTACTGGGAGACAGTTGCCAAAGATTAGCTGAACCACGGAGTTACATTATTTAGATATATTACACGTTATCGAAGTAACCATGCGCTACCGTGAAGTTGATTGCATCCGACTTTTGAACTTCGGTTACTGACTCCAATAGATTCTACGATTGGAACAATAACAAACCTGAACAATAATCGATTAGCCAGTGTTGCGTCTTGAAACTTTTATAAATTTTTCATTGTCAGATAATATGTCTACACCGTAATATTAGAGATTGCTACGGTCAACCGTTTTGATGTGTAATTTTTCAATACCTGAGCATGAAAATCATTCAAAACCAGATTGAGTAGACAGTTATCTAGTCAGTTATTGTTTGTGGGTCGATTTCAGTATGACTGTGCACACATTTTTTGTGGGAACTCGGTTTAAATGAGCAGCGACATCCATCAGCGAACAAGTTGCCCTTGATGATATTGAATCGATTGTTATCATAGTGGTGTACTGATATCGCATGTTAATTTCGTTCAACGGGGATTGATGGTTCACGCCAGCGGTGCTCAATCTTTTTTGATTCATGACCCTCAAATTGATTAATTTCAATGAGGCGACCTCAAACCCCCTTCTTACCAATTTTAAGTAAGTGTAAAATATATACTTACTTAATGTATACAACGATTTCAATTATAAAAATGAAATCGTTAATATTAGGCAATTTTAATATTTCTCATATATTTGTTATAATCCAAAATTTAAAAGAAAAATTAAAATGCCAAATTAGAGTTTTATATATATATAGTTTTACAGATAGTATATAACTCTTTTATTTGGTGCTAAATTATTGGTGACCACTATATTGCGCACTACTGATAAACGCGAAGGTAACGTACTAATGTATTCCCGCCGCGTCTCTGGGGGTGATATTCGGCCTCTGATCGAAATACGACAATATTGACGTCGTTATTAATTATGCATCTGCGAGTCACGTAATCGTAGTAGGTCGCAGTATGATGATAAATTAATGGTTCAAAAAAAACAATTACTTCAGAACTGTTATATTTATTAATAGATTTTTTTTTTTTTTTTAATGCGATTTACCGCCGTTTAAAAGAAATAATGAATACATTTAACCATTTGCCATATGTTCACGTATATAAATATATATTCATATGGTTAATACATTTATTATTTTACAACTACACGAGTTACAGAAAAGTTCAATTAGTTGGTATTTATTATTGAAAAAAAAAAATTATCTACTCTCGCACATACACTCCGGTGTGAAAATTCATTTAGTATACTATAACAACAAATTATGCGCTTTAATGGTTATTAGTTTATATTTAAAAATATATACAACTGCTGCGATCACCCTCCCCACCTCTCATGTAGCAAATTTTAGAATTCGTACCATAATGGCGATATTGCTACATCACATCGTTGCAATTACAATACTTGAATATACGCCTGTCCGTAGAGGTCCACTGTGAAAAAAAAGCGCAACCATGGTGTTTTGTTCTTCTTTTCTTTTCCGTTCAATGCCGACTATAATGATACTTAAAGTTTAAATGATGGCAAAAACTCCGTACGTATATGGGGTATTTAACTAGTAAGTTAAAGCAATATGCCATTCCGGGCGTCTTGTCTCGTTTAAAGTTTTAATAAAGTTTCCGCTGTGAAACAGCTTTAAGTTTTCGACACGGCGTGGAGAAAACTCTGCATGGAAATACCTTGGCAAACTCCTTTTGCCCGTCGTCCGTCCGTGCACACCAGTCACCCCTGCCCCTCTTTCTCCTCTTATAGACGTTTACCCTTTTCTCATGCCCACTATAACGTCGCGCACACATGGTCGCAGTGCCCGTGAAGAGGAGTGGGGGGAATTGAAATCCTGTTGCGCGTGACAATGCATCTTAAGTGAATTCAGCGAGACTGGCCAACTTTTTTGTTATCGCAGCTAGCTTTTTTCTTTAAATCTCCTTATAATTTCAAATGAAAATATTGTCACCTTTTTCCGACAATGCCCCAGGGAATTATTCGAACGAGCCAAGAGAAAAAAATCTACAATATCCCACATCGTTTATTTCCCACTTTTCTAAGAAATATTCCGACACAATTACTTTTTAATAGGTAACTTGTTCTGCCGTATTTCTCTAAACAAATATCATGCACCCCGTCAATGTTTTTTAAGCATCTAAATACATTCATAGACGTGTAAATCGTAATTCTATTTAAGTTTGTCTGTCTACTCAACTTACATTAACAAGATTTTTACTTCAATTCTTCAGACTCTTTTATGTTTTTAATAGATTTGACAGAAAAGTTATGATTATAGTTCTATATGCATTATGAATACGATAAATACGTGCCATTATAATACGCATATTTGTACTCTTATTAAAACCGTAAGGCTAGTTAAAATGTTATCTGTAAGTACTAGTATAATACTAATATAACTTTCAAGATTAGAAAAGTTTTAAGACGCAGTTTTTTTTTAAAAAAAAAAACCTTATATAATTATAATCTATACAACAAACGTGGTATAATAAGTACGTGTGATAATAATACGACAATGACGTTTAGAATTCGAATAGGAAGACTCCCGATGGTGCCACTTGACAAGTTAAATTTAACATTACTATGCTCTTATCAGGTTCCTAGGTCATTACCATTTTAACCTTCTGGGAATGAGAGTGGCAGAAGATAGAATTTTAACTAATGAATTGAGATGAGAGTGGAGCGTTAAATAGAATTTGATATTATAGGATTTAGCCAGTTTTTTTTAGAGTTGATAAATACAGATCTTTGTAGAGATTTTTGTTGGATACGCACCAAAGGACAGGGTTATTATAAGGAGACAAATAGATTTAAATGCTTACAAGATTTTGGTATTTGATTGCTTAACTGAACCCCAAAAATAGATGCCGTTGTGTCAAACTGGATGGATTATTGATTTGTATATTCTAAGTTTATAAGTTGTAGAGAATTTTTATTTTAAAAAGGGTTTCAGGAGATATAGTTTAGGGTAAATTTGTTTTCGCTGTAGTTTTAGGTGCGAACTCCATGTAAGACGTATATCAAATGTTGTACCTAAGTACTTAACCTCATTTATTAAAGATAGGACTAGGTTGTTGAACATAACAGGAGGGCAGTCAGAATTATGCAGAGTGAACGTGAAAGTTACATGAGTGGATTTATAGATTTTCACGTTAAAATGGCCACCGAAGATGAAACGATGTCCTATTGTAAAAAAAATAGTCTGAGAAATGATTAAATATTCAGTGATGAGACCCGGAGGAAAATAAACTGCAGAGACAATGATAGGGTATTATGAATAACTATTGAAACACTGGATGCTGTATAGGAGGGTAGTGAGTGATGGAGTATACTAGATTTTATGTAAATTACCGAGCCTGCGTGAGTAGCTCCGTCAAAACGACACAAGTAGTAAAAATTAATCCATAGATTTTGGCTCAGGTGTAAGTAGTGAAGTGTGTTTCCGAATTTAGTGCGATGTTGATATTAGTTTCAATAAAAATGTGCTGAAGTTCGTGTATGTTTTGTTTGAAACCATTTTCGTTCCATGGAGAAATGGTTAATGGATGGTTAACATTTGAATTATATGTCATTTTATGTCAACATTTTGTTTATGAGAATCGTGAGGAGATTTATTGAAGATGTGAAAAGGGATTGAAAATGTTCATTATAATATGAGAGTTGAGTGAAAAGAGGAAGTTCAGGTTATTCAAATTGTTGAGAATTTGGTAGATTAGAAGACTTTACTTTATCTGAGTAAGTATGAGAAAAGGTGGCATTGCTAAGAGATTTACCATTTGAGTAATTGTGTTGTGTGTGTAATTCGTTGTTGACAGATTCACTGAAAATAACTGAAATGAGTGGTTTCTTGTTAATTTCCTTGTGTAAAGGGACTGTAGTTTCAAGTTCTTTGAAAGTCTGGAGCTCTTTTTGAACTGCGTATTTTCTGTAGTTGTTAGGGTGGTGTTTCCCATATATGACGCAGATCGACGGGAGAACCTTTATATTTTTGTACATGTCAGTGAGTCTTGATCACAGCGTACACACTTCAGGTGACGGTTACAGTAGACATGAGTATGTCCGTAGTTTTGAAATCTATGACATTGAGGTAGATCTTGCCTGGAATGAGGTTCTTCTATTTTAATTTTTGAGTAACATAATTTCGTCAATTGCAATATTTTTGGATTGTTTGATTCCGGGTCAAGATCAATGAAAAATAGTGAGAGTGGAGCTCTAGATTGATTATTTTATATTCATATTGGTAATGTATCTGCTAGAGTAACCTAAATTTGTAAGTTCTTGAGTGATAAATTCGGTTGAAATTGAGTGATGAAAGTTTTTCAGAACTAACCGGTAGGAATTGTTCTCTTTTGCTTGGTAGGTGAAATATTTTATAGAATTGTCGTTTAATAATTTAATTATCAGCCGAAAAGATTGAGAAGAGTTTAATGACAATTTGAGGTTTTAATTGTGGTTTTGCATAGTAATTTATTGTTGCCAATTTTTATTTTAATTTCGTCGCAGAATTTTTAATAGTAAATTAGTGATGAATATTGGTGCCAGAGTAAGTAATTGGGGCACAGTGTCTGTACACATTTGGGAATTTTCATCGTAATTTTTGTCAGCTTCCCTTAATACGTTGTAATGGTTGAGAGAGGAGAAAGTGAATTTAATTTTTACGGTATTATTTCCTTTTTATTTCGGTGACTCACATAGAAATGGAGTATATTTTCCTGGTTTAATTATCCATTCTGGTTTAGAAGATATATTATTATTTATTATTTTAGTTATTTGTAGAGGTGGCATTTTTTTATTTGATTCGTCCGATGATCTACGGTTGGTGTGTTTGTTGATTATAAATTTATTTGGTATAGTGTGTGTCTTATCTTAGGTCCCTAAGTCACCATGCGTGCGGTGCCTGGATCCGTACGCTTTAATAATTATTTTAATTAATTAAGGTAAACACTTTTTGTTCAATTTAGATGATAAAATTAAATATATTAAAATACAAACACTTAACAATTATACTTATAATAGAAGACTGGTTATTTTTTTTAAAAGTCTGACAAAATACTCGATTCAGATTTGAGAAAGCTGAGAACGCATAGCAATTATACCATTGATACAGGTGTGTACAATCTTGCTGTGCGTATTGTTGTGTAAAATATAGTTAAATATTTTATTAACTACTCACAATATTTACTACAAG